GAATTGCAACACTTTTGGAACGGGCAGTATTCGCATAGAAAGCAAGTACTTGTAGTGAGATTTGAGAGGGTGTGGAGTCCCAAGAGCGACACGAATTCTTTCCCCGGGCCTCGGCCGAAGGGCCGGAGCGGCCGTCCCTACCTGTTGCTTAGGGTCGCTTTTAAGCTCACCTGTTCGGAAAGGTTGGTACCGCACCCGCGCACGGCACGCCGCATTCTGGCAGACCACTAACTTAGCTACTATCTCAGCTGTGGCATGACCTCCTCTTGCCCGTCACCACAGCTACCGCGATCTTCCATACAATACCAAACGCTGCTACCTACCATATGTACATGTTTTGTGCGCCATGAATCAGCCCACCTTCCAATCACCTGCGAATGATCTGAACCGTTTAGCTGGTCCTTAACTGGCTGAGGCAGGATGAACAGCTCCAATATGCTACCGACCTTCAGCATGAGGCGCTTTGGGCCCAAACATTGGCCCGCTCGTGGTCCGGATCCGCGCCTCGAGTAAGACAGCACTTTTGACAGAAGGATTATGCTAAACTAGAGCAGTGTCGTCGTAGTCCCAGATCCTGGAAGACACCAACTGGTGTTGCATGACCGAAGTGAGGATAACGATGCGGGGACGGCCCAGTTGGAGGTCCTTCTCCTACAAGATCTCCCTGAGGCAAACATCATGAGCTTTTTGGAGATCTCAGAAGCTTCCCATGAGACTCTGTTTACTACCTGGGGTCTCCAGTACCGGGCAAGAGCGCTGTTGACGTCGTTACTCGAGAAAAGGAATACCACAGCAAACCCTGTCATCTTCGCTGGCTTCGGCATCGGATGTCTCGTCATCATGCAGGTACTTGATCTCAGATGCTGCTTCACCTAGCAAAGTTTGGTGCACGAGTCCAGGCTAAGCTGGAACCATAGGCCTTGATGATCGCGCAAAATGAACGTTTGTACTCGTCAATTAGGAGGAACACATCACATTTGGTACGTCAGCACGGCGTGGGACACTGCCACAGCAACTATCAGGTTGCCATGTCCTACGTCTTTAAATACCCCTTCCAGAAATGGAGAGCGTGTTACTGACCGGCAAGGTATTCACGGGTATTCCGCCCAATGCAACGGGTCCTAAGTCTTGGGAGATTCAGATCGTAGAAATGATGGGCACGTCCGACGGCGGAAGCACCTCTGGATTGTCAGAGGCACTTGGCCGGTTTTCCAAAACCCTGATGGAGACATGCGAGGGATTTTCTTCCCTTGCTGATAGATACCAGTTAGTCAGCTTTGTGAAAGAGGAGAAGACTTCGCAGAGGGGCATGCGTGTTTGTTATTCCTTTCCTCTCTCGTACCCTCAACACTTCGCAAACATAATGCTGGCTGAAAGGCCTGTTATGGGCACTCCCTTGGCTATCTCCATCGTTGAACCAAGTGATCGCTAGTCCCAGAAAGAAAGAACCGAATGTGACTGGACCGCACCTGACATTGTCTAGGCTCTGGATCGGGTTTCTCCAAAGTCCAGCATCCACTGCGAGGAACCAAGTAGCAGGGACGAAACTCGTTCCAGTGGTAACGAACTCCTCGAACAAACGAAAAACACACAGATTATCGCTGATAAAATTAGATCTGTTGCCCTGGTTGCATTGAAAAGTTAGCCCAAGACCATTACACCATGATATGCATTCCGCTTATACTTGGTTAGGCCGCGATCATGGATGGTATCAGGACTACGAGCGAATGGTCTCACAACTCGAACCGCAGCTGCATTGCTGCATGCTCCGCGAAATGTCACCGAATACATTGCGCTGGCTTCTCTTGAACGATGCCCCGGATGCTTATTTATCCTGGTCGAAAAGTAATGTTTCCGCTTTGCTGTATATACATGGCCTTTGCGGTGTTGGGAAAAGCTTTATTTCCTCCTTCTTATGGGAACACCTCAGGAGTGGGAGCCCAGGCAATGGCTCCACGGTAATATATTTTTCATTCGAAAAGGACGACTTGCGTCGAACCACGACGAGGAGCATGCTGTTGTCGTTCATCCACCAGCTCTTGACTGGCCAGCCTCGCACTTTCTTGAGTATTCGGACCCAATATGAATCAATACGCCAGCAACTTCCATGGACAATTGAGGAACTATGGATGTTTTTTCGAGCTATGATATGCTCTCCGGTGCATCAGGAATTATTCTGCATCATAGATGCCATGGATCAAGCTGACAGCTCCATCAGCCGAAATCTGCTCGACATAATCCGTTTTTGTGCCTCAAGGAATGCAAAGGTCAAGATGATAGCCACCAGTCGAATCCAACCTGGTCTGCAATCACCCTTACTCTTCACTATCGACCTGGGCCTTCAAAGCAAGATAAAGATGGATGTGGAGACAGTTGGCAGGGAACATGCTCAACATCTGATTCAGGGCAGCCAGGCATTTGTCGGACTCGAAAAGGAGCTCGTTGAACATTTCCAAAGCCTGTCCACACATTTGGAAGGTAGCTTCTCTTTCAAATCTCTTGGGAGATCGGGCCTTCGATCATCGCGCAAGGCGATACGGGAAGAGCTGGCATCATTGGCACTCAGTACTTCATGCATACGTCGCGGCTTGACGAGCGATATCCTGAAGTTGAGCGGTCAGGATCGAACGGCTCTCTTTTGGATCTTGCTTTCCTGTCGGCCCTTAACGTGCAATGAGCTTTCTATCGCCTCATCGATCCGTGAAGGCAATACGACATACTTACAGATACAGGATGATATTCCTCGGGACATCGCCAGAGATTTATCAGAGACTCTTAGTCCCATAATCTTTACTCAACACGAGGAGATTCACATCGTTCACCCATCCATGAAGGATGTTCTCCTCACCCTGCTGAAAGAAGCGAACAAAGATTCAAGTTCCACACCTGAGCTAGCTCACGCTGACTTGACCCGCCTTTGCTTGACTTACCTTGCTTTCACAGACTTTGGGCACGAAGATTTGCCAGAGTCAGTCAATGAAGTCTTTGGGGAGTGCTTACCTGTACAACAATACGGCTTCTTAGAATATGCTACAGAGTATTGGCCCGAACATTATCGTAGAACTGAGGACCGATGTTCTCTGTCTCAGGATGTGTTACGCTTTTTTAAGAAGGAGTGCTTCAAGGCTTGGAACCGAAGACGAGGCTCGACAGGCCGCCCAGGGGAAGAAAGTAGACCCAGTTCTGCGTCTCCGCTACAGGTTGCCGCGGAGTTGGGATTTATCGAAATTTTGAAAGAATTACTGGATTCTGATGCCAATGCTGCCAGTCTGGAGGACAAAATCGCCGCCCTGGAATCCGCTGCAGAGAAGGGACATCTGGAGATAGCTGAATTGCTGCTTATCAAGGGGGCTTCGTCCGCGCGGGCTCTGACGTCTGCTGTGCAAAATGGTAATACCAAGTTGGTGAAACAGCTTATCAGTGAAATTAGTGTTAGGGAATCCCAAGATGGCAAAGTTCCAGACTTTCATCTTGCGGCGTTGAGAGGACATGTTGGGGTAATGAAAGCTCTTGTGGAAGCTGCGCCGGATTCGGAATTCCTTGATAATAACAGATATGCCTCTCTACGTCTCGTCTGTCAAAGTGGGCAGCTTGCAGTTCTGCGGTACTTACTGAAAGACCACAAGCTCGAGCGCGAACGCGCCCCTGCTTTGCTGCATGCGGCTGCTAAAGGAGGACACTTGGAGATTGTACAAGACCTCATCAAAGCTGGAGCAGATCCTAATGCTGCCGACAATGACAATCACACGGCCCTACAGTTGGCTGCAGAGGGAGGGTATGTTTTAATTGTCAGGGAGCTCATTAAACTTCTCGATCCCGATGTAAAGGACGCTGCCTTGTCTTCCGCGCTCCATTCTGCTGCTAAAGAAGGCCATCTCCAAGTCGTGGACGAGCTCGTGATCGCTGGAGTTGCCCTAGACGCACGAGAAGGGAAACGCACTCAGCCGATTCACCAGGCGGCGCAAGGTGGACACCTAAAGTTATTGAAGAGACTTCTCGAACTGGAGGTGAATCCACTGGCTGTCGATGAGGATGATTTCACTCCACTGCACCTAGCGGCTCGAGAAGGGCATTTGCCAATAGTGCTGGAACTCCTCAACAATGAGGGCGGAAAGGTGACCGGTGAAATTGATCTCGAATCTGCATTCGGAAGTCAAGCTGAGAACGTGGAAAAGAATGGTGAAGATCTGGATGAAAGTTTTGTGGTGCCAGAGACTGATGGAGCCACCGAGGAGGATAAAATGAGTGACGATAGCAGCAGAAACGAAGACGCGGATGCCGGTAAGGAAGGTAAGGACGATGAAGATGAGAGCAGCACTACCACCGGCACAGATAAGAACAGTGAGACCAGTTCTTCTGGTGTCGACTATGAGGATGACAACGATCCTGACAGGTCTGATTATCCCTACGAAATTACGCCGCTGCACTCAGCTGCCCGGAGGGGCCATGTCGAAATTGTAAAAGCATTGCTTGGGGCTGGGGCTGAGCTCGAAAAACCCAACATACGTCAAATGACACCGCTGTACCTTGCTGCCCAAAACGGGCATGCAACGGTTGTCGACTGCCTGCTTCAGAAGGGTGCGGATGCAAATGCTATCGGCGGTAAAGATGCTACACCGTTACATCTGGCTATATCTACGGGGAATATTTCCATTGTCAAGGCGCTTCTTCAGGCTGGTGCCGAGGTTAACGCGAGTAACCGTAATGGCGATGCACCGGTGCATATGGCAGTGTATGCGGGACGTGTAGATGTCGTGAAAGAACTTCTGAAGTTCGGGGCAGACGTGCGCCGAACGGACAACGAAGGACAAACTCCCCTTCACCTGGCAGCCGCAGGGGGTCATAGTCAGATAGTAAAACAGCTTTTCGAGGCCGGTTCCAACCCGGAGCTCACCGATAGTTCTGGTAACACAGCGTTACATATCGCAGCCAAGGAAGGGCACAGTTCTGTAGTCAGAGAGCTCCTGGCAAAAGGTGTGAACTTGTCTACAAAATCCAGAAACGGCTGGACAGCTCTCCACTTCTCACATCACAGCACCGAAGTCACAAACCAGCTTCTGAAAGCCGGAGCAGTTGTTGATGCAACAAACAACATCGGCTCCACTGCATTGTTTCTAGCTGCATACACTGGCTGCGAACCGGTAGTGAAAGCCCTCTTGAAAGCTGAAGCGAAAGCCGACAAGCAGAACATTTATAAGTCCACACCGATACACCGGGCTGCCGAAGGTGGCTATGTTGGTTGCATCAAACTGCTGATAGAAGCGGGAGCAAACCCTTTGCAAAAGAAAAGATCCAACGTCACGCCTGTGCAGCTGGCATTGAGCAGCGGCCACCCGGAGGCGGTGGAACAGCTGCTTGAGCCAATGAAGAAGAACTCTCCACCGATCAGCGAGTACGAGGAGACCCTGGTGCTGCTGGCTCGGCGTGGGTTTGAAAATGGGGTTAAGAAGGTCCTGGAGCACCCTCTGCTGAACCTGGATTCAACAGATTCCTTGTATGGCCAGAGCCCACTGTCGCATGCGGCAGAGAATGGGCATGAAGGGATTGTGCGACTGCTGCTGCAGAAAGGGGCCAACCCCAATTCGACGGACCTGGCAGGGCGTAGTCCACTCTCATGGGCAGCCCTTAATGGACGGGAGGCAGTAGTTCAGTTGCTGCTAGACAAGGGCGCCAACGCCGACCTCAGCGATAACGAAGGATGGAATGCCCTGCATCTTGCTGTCGCGGATAACTGCGAGTCTATAGTGAAGCTTCTACTCGAGAAAGGAGTGGGCACATCAGCAACACTTAAGAGCGGCTATACTGCGCTGGACCTCGCGGTGAATAACTCCTCTCCTGATATGGTGCGATTGCTGGTCGATTCCGGTGCCTCCATGTCAACCCGAACCAAGTATCAATTTTCTCCTTTGGATATGGCGGTGAGGGATGGAGATTTATCTGTTGCCAGGGCTCTGCTTGACCTTGGAGCCGAAATGTGGGTGACAGGGCCGGACGGACATACGCCACTGGATATCGCTCTCTACCATGGACACCAGCACATTGTAGATCTATTTCTAGAACATAACGTCAACTCTCTCGGTGAAGAACAAGGCTTAACAAAGTTGCACTTGGCCATGCTAAGCGGGAACAAAAAATCCATGCAAGAGTTCCTGGACCAGGGCGGTGACATCAATTGCTTGGACAAGAATGGCATGACGGCGTTGCACTTGGCGGCGGCTCGCAGCGACGAAGACCTTGTGCTGTTTCTGCTTGGGGCGGATGCCGACGTTGGGATGAAGGACAATGAAGGAATGACGCCACTGCATCGAGCAGTGATGGAAGGTAATGAGACAATCGTGAGGGCGCTCTTGAGCAAAGGGGCAGATGTCAACGCGGTCGATTTGCACGTTTGGACTCCATTCCACCTCGCAAAGGCTTACGGGAACGTCAAAATATGTGACGTGTTATCCGAAAGTGGCAAGATGGCCGTAACTTCGGATCAGGGAGAGGTTAGCATCTCCATCCCTCCCAGTCGCTTTATCAAGGCGGTCTCGTCGTCCGACATCACCATCAGCGAGGATGGGCTCACGGCAACGACTGGTAAGCCTCAATTCCTGTGCTTGTTTCAACTACACTAGCTCAAAGTGACCTCCTTCTGATACTACGAACTAGAGAACGTCACCAAAATGGAATTGGCCGCGGGGCTTCAGATCCGAGCAGATCATCCTATACCTCCCGGGGCAAACACTTATTACTTCGAAGTGGCATTTGTCCATGCGGCCCGGGAAAGGTAAGCTCCATACCAAAATTAGGAGATCCCATCCTCTCCCTTGAAAATCTCCGTCTTCCTGGACAAAACGTTCTACGCTAACTCCTTTTTTCGAAAGTGCTATTGCTGTTGGCTTTTGTGAAGCTGATTCCCGGCGGATCGGGATGCCCGGCTGGCACAGGGCCGCGTGGGGATATCATGGCGACGATGGAGCACTATTTAATAACAAGGGACTTGGCACACCATACGGCCCCAAATATGCCCAAGGCGACGTGGTCGGTTGCGCCATCGACTTCACTTCCAAGTCCGCTTTCTTCACAAAAAACGGAGATAGAGTAGGAGAAGGTGAGTCTTATTTCATTCCTTTCCGTTTGGTCTCGTTCTTGATAGGGCTTTCGGTGCTCACGTGCAAAATAGTGACTAAAGCCGCATTCACCAACGTAGTGGGAAGGCTTTTCCCAGTGGTTGGGATCGGAGACGCGGGAATCAAGGTCGTTGCCAATTTTGGTCCGAATGACTTCCACTTCAAAGACTTCAAATAGACTGTGTCCTTGCGGTGTTCACGATATGGCCAGGTGATTATAGTTGCAGCTTTTTACACACATAACTACGCTATCGAACTTGATTTTCGTCCCGTGACTGAGAGAAAAGGGGACGAACTGTGATGGAGCTAGAAAGCATTTGCAAAAACCTGCCAGGGCTAGCGACACTAAACCAACTGTGATCCTTATTGTAGTCAATGAAAAGATCGTTGGATTCTGCACAAGGTCCGCATATTCTATGCTGCGTGCTTTGGTAACTCAGTCTTGAACCTGACGATGTTGATGTCATCCAACACGACCTTTTCGAGCTCATCAGGCTCGTATTTGTCGGTGGTGGCCTTCAGAGCCGGATCAAAGCGAATCGGGCTGACCTTGGGCTTGGTGCTTACCAGCTGCGCTATGCGGGAGCTCAGGTCGAGCTTCTGCTTGGCCTTGATGTCAATGACGCCGATGAAGCGTTTGCCAGGCTTCCGCCTAAGCAGGACCGCGGTCGTGAGCGTGTCCGGGATGCCGCTCTCCCCGGTTGCGTTCTCTTCCATGACCCACTTAGCCCCGGTAGGCTCTCCCGCGTTCCGCTGTGGGAAAATACTGGAGCCATATAGTGAAATGTGATCGTGGACGTTGCCTGACTCGGAGCGTGTCCATCCGCTGCTGATGCTGGTGCTGGCGCCGAAGGCCCCGCCCTGCAGCCCCGCTTCCAGTGACCTATCCTTGCTTAGGGTGAACGTCTCCCTGTCCATCACGAACTGATCATCCATCGACAGGTTGACCACCTCGGGCCAGTCGTCCAGACCGACGGCGGCGACGCCGGGCTTGGCCGGATCGGCGTAGAAAAACTCCCAGGTGATATTCGCCGAGACGAAGCGGTTCGCCCTGGTCGATCCCAGGAACTTGAACGTAGACACGATCAGGGTGGCCGCGTCCCCGCCTGACGTGAGGTGCCCGTGCACTACGTCGGTGAGGATGCCTTTGACCGTGCGGGTCGAACCGTACTGCGCCAGGTAATGGCGCTGGTCCTCACCAGGCAGGTTACTCATGTGGTAGGCAGAGCCGGGGGTACCGCCATCAAACAGGTCGATGTCGAACTCGTACTGCTCGGCCATGGCTTGGATATCAAGGATGCTGCTGACGTTGAGGGATGGTGCTGGCTCGGGAGATCTACACCGCCAACGCTGAATTCGTATCAGGAGTCTCAAGACGCTAGGGGCCAAAGCTCTTGAGACTTCTCATCAGGAACAATTTACCATATGACTTGAAATGGACATAATAGTCTGGTTATACGGAATTGTGCATCCAAAGTCATCAATATACGCTAACTCGATAAAGTAGCGCCACCTGTTTATGCAGTAGTGTCATGCTTGTCTCAGTTGACGATGTCAGAGCAGCTAATAGGCCCGAACGTCTGAAGCTTAGTTGACATTAGTTACAAGTCACGTCTAACGGTCTAAAAAAGCCCTAAAGATATCTAAAAGTTATAGGACTACTAAGGGCTACTAGGGGCTTCCTCTCTATAGAGTGCAAATTACATAGTATTAAGTGTAATCTAATATAGGCTTAGCTTTTTCGTACAAAGGACGTTTTCAAGTAAGGGTATTAGTTAGTGCTGAACTAACAATACGTAGTGTGTTAGGCTCACTTGGAGATAACTCTCCTGCCGGGCTACTACCGGCACCCCAGCAACAGTAGTGTAGCGCTAGACATCAGATAACTGGCAATAGGCCGATAATAGAAATCACTCAGACTTACACAACACCACTGTTCCACATGTCTCTTTCGGTATTATGCCACTGGCATAATATGGTGACTGTATGTGTTCCGACCTTAAGGTCTGTGAGTCATCTTTCAGGTTACTTCGGAGAAGTTTTAACTCAAGTACGGAGACAAGCTGTCAACCTTAATCCTCCTTAGTGGCTCATAATCTATAAATACGCACTGCCATGAAACTCCCAAAGAGTTCTAGACATGCCCTGACATGTTTATAAAATGCGCCCTCTTATGATTTGTATCAGCATCATGAAAAAGCTCTTCTTGACCTAGGTCTACATGCTAATTCTCCTCTTGCCATGAATCCTGCGTGCCTTTCCTGGCTCCGCTATTCTCTAGCGCTGCGCCCCTCCTCACCGTCTCCGTTTCGTACCTTCAGCACCACTTGCAACCTTCGCACTAGCACATCCACCGCTCGTGACAAACAAGCCGTCACTCTCCCCGATGGCCGCGTGCTCTCCTACGCTGAGTATGGCCCCACGACCGGTTACCCTGTTTTTTTCTTCCACGGTTACCCCTCCTCGCGTCTTGAGGCCGGACCCATCGCGCACCTCGCGGCGCGGCAGGATGTTCGCTTGATTGCGCCTGACCGGCCGGGCTTCGGGCTCTCTACCTTCCAGCCCGGCCGCAAAATCACCTCCTGGCCTGCTGACGTCTCTTTTCTTGCTTCCCACCTCGGGCTTGTGCGCTTCGCCATCCTGGGTGGCTCAGGCGGCGGGCCGTACGCGCTGGCGTGCGCGCAGGCCTTGCCCCACACTCAAATGTCGGCAGTAGGTGTGCTAGCCGGGGCGCCGCCGTGGGAGGCGGGGACGAAAGAAGTACTGTGGTATTCGCGGCTGGCCGCGGTGGCCGCGAATTACGCCCCTGGGGCGTTGACAGTGGTTGCGGAAGCCGCAGTGAGGGGTTTGAGATGGGCTGTGGAGATGGAGTGGGTCAGAAGGCGGCTTGAGCGGTGGTTGGAGGCAGTGGAGAAGGAGGAGGAGCAGCGAAAAAAGAAGAAGGGGGGGTTGATGGAAGAGAGAGAGCGTGAGAAGACGACGGAAAAGGACGAGAGGCAGAGCCTAAAGGCCGAGAGTCGGTGTGACCGTCTGCTGCCCCTCCTGTTCGAGCCCTTTGCGCAGGGCGCCGCAGCTTCCGTGCAGGAGGCGAAGCTGCTCACGCAGAGTTGGGGGTTCCGCTTCGAGGATGTTAAGTACGACCGAATCCAGATATGGCATGGCACGCGTGACGTGAACGCGCCAATAGGCATGATTCGCTGGATGGCGGCGCGGCTGCCGCATTGTGAGCTACGCGAGTCGGACCATACGCACTTCACGCTCGTCGATCAGCTAGAGGAGATTCTGGCGCAGCTCGTGCCGGATGAGACGGCCAAGGTATGAGGACCGGAAATGTGGCAATCTCTTCTCCATACTACGGAGCATCAAGGCGTTGTGGTATCATCACTCTTATCCGGCGAAGCATAGGACATTAGGTATTCATCTATCTTATGAGGGAAGCGTCAAGGCGTTATGGCGTTATTTCCTTCATACAACGACCATCGGGCGTTACAGCATCATTCTTCTATCCAACAGAGCATCAAAGCTTTGAAGCGTTTACTCCATATTACAAGAAGCTGGCGCTTGAGCATCTTTTCTCGATCTACTTATCACAATGGCTCCGTCTGTTGTCGTGATTGCAGGTAGGTCAATCGGGAATTCGTCCATGTGCTTCGTTGCCGGAAAAGTACTCGACACTCTGTGCTCAAGCGCAAGTGGACGTGACTGAGTATAGAGCGCAAGCATCAATCAGCTCTTAAAGCTCACCAGGCTCTTGCTTAATATACTACAGCATCCCGAACATCGACAGCAGGTCCTTTACCAACTCGGAAGCGTACTCAATCAATCCAGTACCCGCATGATTGACAAGTCACCCAATTCCGAGCAATATACACCGACATTCGCGTCAAGAGACTAGAAATCAGAGAAATGGGACCTGCGCTGATGGGTAACCATATCAACGCAGATCCGAAAATCGAAGGGTCGGACAGCTACATTGTAAGGATGGTAAGGGAGCTTGGGTACCAAATCGCATCTGAAGCGTAGTAAGCCTAGAATGCACAATTATGCAATTATGCGGAATCTGTCAGTAATAACTCCCTCTAAATAAGAGCAACAAAATGAGCAACGCTTTTACCCATCGCTTACAACACGGTATTCCTCCACGATTCATATCGTAAAACAACCGGCATTGCACAAAATCGGAAGAGTACTCTCCTTCCATTTTGTGCATTTTCTCTTTCTGAGCCTGAGCGTGACCCTGGTTTCACTTTACGTGACAAGTCCCGTGGGAAGAGGATTTGAAGTAGAACAATGATCTCTGCTGGGGTAAGGGTTTGACCCTGTCAGCCGGACAATTTGGTGGCCACAATGGTCAGATGGAGAATAAAACATGAGGAAAGTTGTCAGGACAGTCGGAATAAGGATGAGAAGGCTGACTTCGTACCCGAATCTTGACCACGCCCAATGAGGTTGCTGCCTGACTAAGGGAGCAGTGGCGGTGTGACCCTCTCTGTACGGAGATTAAGGCGCACACAGTGAAAACTTCTTCTATCGCAGTCAGCGTGCGCTTCCAATCGAGGCCCTGATTTGCTTTGATTACTATTTAATCAAAACCCCTGATTTGCTTTGTCTGACTGATTTGTCAAATCGAGCTAAACCTTAGTAAGCAATATATTTCTAGGGCTTTGTGTCAAATAGGTAGAAGAAATGTGCAGGGCGAGCAGAAATAAGTACAAATTGTATTGAAAATACTAGTAACTGCGAAATTGTGGCGAAAATAACCAATCAAAAGGAGTCAAAAACGCAGGGTAACGCGTAAAAATAGCGTCTGACAAAGTTGAATTCTCGTCCAGATCGAGTGTCCGCCAAGACTGTTATTATTGCATCGAAAATATCCTGGAATGAGTATCATTGAGACTTTCTGTCAAGACTTCAATTTGACTAATTTGTCAAATCCACGGAGGCCGATTCGCTTTGACGAGAGCACCGATTTGATTTGATTTGTTTGGACACAATGTGCAGCGCTACAGCCAATGCTTCCTGGAACATCGACCATGCTGAACTCTGCGGGATATCAAAGAAGGAAAACTAGTAACAACTGAAGTGAAACATAGGTGGGTTGGCTGTGGTGCTACAGTTTTCCCTAATGGAGTGTTTTGCAAGGTTGACAGCGGCAGTGTAGACTGATCATCTTCGCTGATCCGCGTTTCAGCTCAATCTTCCCACAAGCAATTGATCTCTCTTTCAAAGGCTAGATCCCCTGCTCAACTTCTGCTTGGGTAGTTGCAACCGTTGGAAAGGAATTACTCAGCGAACGCTTCGTGGTACAGCTTGTCAAATCTTGTTTCCTGCAGCTCCCCTAGACTAGTTGCTGAAAACGTGCAGATGCCTCTTGGTCAGCTTGCCTTTGTGCTGCCAGAAAAAGAATCTGGGGGATGATTATATGCAATTAAAGGGAGTAAAGTTGACAAATCGACTGAATTACTCTGCTTTACTGCTTAAGTCTCTGATGGTGTTACTGAAGCCATTCTCACCAGAGCTCTCTTCAATGCGCGTGTCCATGGCAGCCTCGTCAGCGGTCCTGCGACGGAACACGGGTAACTGTTGGCAAAACCGCCCAAAGCTAAGGAGAATTTAAGTCTGAGGGGATGGGCTCAGTAACGGCGTCAACGTCTATGGCCACGCCAATACATGGATCAAATGATCAAGAGTGTACAGAGTATCGAATATAAGAACGGCGCGATGGAGAGGTGAGTTGGGGACATCTTCGGCGCGTGTGCTGCGGTAGGCGGTAGGGGTGAGTGTTGGTCCTGTGGTCAGATCAGCAAAGGTGAAACGACGGAGATCGAAGAACTGCCGGCATTATTCTTCATCAACTACCGAAGTTAAGCGACCAGGGCCCGCATTACCTGGTTGGCACCTCTCTCGAGCTTACGTGGTACAAGAGGCTGACAGCTGTTGATTAAGCAGAGCCTGTGCAGACACCACTCGGCCAAGGAGTATGATACGGAGACCTTGCTTTGAATGCTGGGGTAAATGTGTAGGATCATGATGCCAGTGCGCAATCAAATTACCGCGCACTATTACGGGGTTAAAGTCCAATTCAAACCCATTATGACAATTTAAGATCGCTTCAAGACATCCTCTTGGGGGCATCCTCTTAGGGGCATCCTCTTCGGGGCATCCTCTTCGGGGCATCCTCTTAGGGGGGACCCTATAGAGACACCCTCTTATGCACTCTCTTAAGACACCCTCCTAAGATATCCTCTTATAGTCTTACAGATACTCTCTTAAGACCCCCTCTTACGTCACTCTCTTAAGCTCCCTTTGAGACACTCTCTTATAAGTACTCTTTTAAGACACCCTTGTAGGACATCCTCTCAAGACACTTTCTTATTAGGCATCCTCTTAGGACACCCTCTGTGGGGCCGAAGGGCCTTGGCGCCTGCGGAGCTATTTCATCCGAACTTTGTATTTAGATTCCTATTAGCTACCCACACCCAATTCATGCATTGAGCTGACTGCTCCAAACCCCTGACGAATACTACATTCAATCAAGTAAGTCCTCGTCCACAATTACATGTAGTGTTGGGTTGGGATAGGATAGAATGATCAGCAAGGGCTGTGGGGGATACAATATTTTGAATTGACCTTAAGCCCATAACGTCAGCTGTAATCATACCGCTTTTAACCCTGTGTGAGTCTATTACTCGATTCCGATTTCCGACGGATTCACTTGGCTTCTCCTTCGTCTTCTTCACCAGGTTTTCTGGCTTCGGGTCCCTCAATTTGCCCTCCCACAGCCTATCATGGCATTGACCGCACCACTCTTTGCGTCAATGTCGTTTGACTACCTCATTGCTGGGGGAGGAACAGCAGGCTTGGCCGTGGCCGCCCGCTTGGTCGAAAATCCTTTGGTTAATGTCGGGGTCATTGAGGCTGGAATCAGTCACATCGATGATCCAAGGATCTTGACTCCGTTGGACATCGTTCAACTGCTGGGTCAACCTGAATATGACTGGCTTTACAATAGTACACCTCAGGTTGTTCTCTCGTTCCCTCATGACATCCCTCACTTTGTCGTTCCAGTGGCTGACATATCAGGCTAACCTATCCGGTCGGTTTGTTCCACAATCCCGCGGTAAGGGACTCGGAGGCTCAAGCGCAATTAATGCTCAGTTGCTGACTTTTGCTTCCCGAAACGATATTGATGATTGGGGGAACCTAGGAAACGATGGCTGGTCATACGACGACCTGGCACCGTATTACAGGAAGTTTGAGGATTACCAATCACCGCCACCGGACGTTGCTGAGGAAGCAAGCGCAGAGTACATCAACGCAAGCGCCCACGGTTACGGCGGTCCCATTCGCAGCTCCTTTGCTCCCTTCTATACTGACCTCCAGAAGGCCTGGACGCCAACTTATGAGAACCTGGGAATCGGAGCAGATGGCGACATGCGTGACGGTGTTGCCCTCGGTGGATATACTAACCTCATGAGCCAAAACCAGGAAGATCATACCAGAAGCTATGCAGGAAACAGGTACTATCAGCCCAATGCCGGAAGGCTTAACCTAAAGGTACTGACAGAGGCTCGGGTGAACAACATCATCTTTGACGAAAAGAAGGAAGGTGATGACCTTCTGACTGCCACCGGACTAAATTTTACAGTCAACGGCACACACTATGTTGTCAATGCAAAGAAGGAAGTCATCATCGCAGCCGGCACGGTGGAATCCCCCAAGCTCCTCGAGCTGTCCGGCATTGGCAACGCTGAAATCCTCAACAAACACAGCATCCGCGTCTTGTTGGACAACAAAGCTGTCGGGGAGAACCTTCAAGACCACCCCGTCATTGGATACACCAACCAAGTGAATGATGGGGTCATTACCCAAGACCAATACATATTCAACAGGACGTACCAAGACGAAGCACGGCTCCTCTACCAGACCAATCGCACCGGCCCACTTACTAGCGTCATAACTCAATACGCCCCGCTCTCCTGGTCCCAGATACTCCCTCCTGATCAGCAGACACGACCGCAAGACCTGGTAAACCAGTACCTACCCGCTGAATCCTACAGCCACGACTCCCCGCCCGGTCTGCGCGAGCAATTCGACCTGGTCAAGAAGCGCCTTGTCGATCCTCGGGAAGCCATGGCCTGCGATGGAATGCTCGCCGGCGCGGGTCTCCCGACACCCAACCCATCAACCGGCCGCTTTGATCTCGTCTCCCGGACGAGTTTCCTCGCCCACCCCTTGTCCAGGGGCACCGTGCACATCCGCTCGGCAGACCCCAGCCAAGCCCCCGAATTCGATCCACGCTACCTGTCCCATCCACTGGATATCATCATGCTGGGCGATGTCGCCCTCCACATGCAGCGGGTTGGCAAGGCGGCTCCGCTGTCCGATCTCTTCAAGGGAAATGGCACCGTGCACGGCCCGGCGCTCCCCAACGAGCTCAACTCGACAAGCGTGCTGGACTATGTCCGGCAGCTTGTGAATACCGGGTGGCATCCCATCGGGACTTGCGCGATGCTGCCGAGGGATAAGGGTGGGGTGGTGAGTCCGCGATTAAAGGTTTATGGGACGGTGAATGTGCGGATCATCGACGCGAGTATCGCGCCTCTGCATGTTAGGGGAAATACGCAGAGTTTGGTTTATGCGATTGCAGAGTATGGGGCTGATATCGTCAAAGCGGATCAGGCCGGCAAGTATAAGCGTGATAGGATTAGGAAGTCCCGGGACAAAGAAGGGTGCGGAGTGAGATGTATAGGCTGAAGTTTGCAATTCTTGTCGAGATACTGGTGGACTACTGCATAGGGTTACGGATACCGACGGAATAAGTTCAACCAGGCATAACTTTGCAGGCAAAGAAAAGACACGATTCCCTCAGCTATAGCCCTGAGTTCATTCCGATCCTTTCCCTTCTCTCCCGTCGAGATTGCCCAATGGAACTGAGGTCGAATGCCAAAACCTAGAGCTGTGCTTTGTCTTCAGTGAACTGTAGAGTTGGCGACGTGGTTGCAGGAGGGTTAAATCGCGACAGGCAATATAACGAAAATTTATACTACGTGGCTAACATCCTCGCAAAGGGTGTGGCCTAGATCAAGTTGCGCAGGGTCATAGAAGACATCGTCGTCAAAGCTCACATCCCTGGAGCGAATTACTGCGTTTGGCGGACTCATTTTGCTCAGGTGTATAGAGATGGATACTCCATGATGGTACCACGTGATTCCGTCAAGTCATCAAACTTATAACCAAACATACGTTCACCGTTGGTTCGCAAAATCGTATAGATCGATTGGATCGAGCTTAATCATGGAAAGAGATTCAGTAAACATATTTATGTCCTGTGACCTCTTTGTGTGGATGTACACCAAATCCATCAACGCGTAATAACAGCTGGAGTGACATGCACTTCTCGCCGTCGTACCCTGATTTCATCTCAATAAGTAAAGGGTAACAATAATGGTGAAATATCGATAGGTCAAATTCCACGCGTTCCGCCCTCCTTCCTAGGAAGTCATACCTTGTCCCTCGCCCAAAATAGGAGTCAATTTCTCCGTTTCGGTTGGTAGAGCTTACTAGCCGAACACGAAATTGCTATGCAAGACGCTTTCTGGCGGAACATCGCTCTTCACGCCTATGACGCATTTGTAATAGGGCCGTCCTCGTGGAAGCGTGAAGGTCAGGAAACCATCCGGCGCGCCCGGTTCGCCGACTAACTCGAACTCGTCGACATCTGTCGTCCCGCAGAATAAGCATTGCGCGAAGAAGTTGTACGTCTCGGCAAGGCCGAGATACTTGGCTTGAAAGGAGGTTAAGAAGAAAGAAATCGATCCACTAGTTCTCGTGAGCAAGATTGTACCTCTGAACGAGTCGCTCCATTAAATGATTTGGATGGCCCTGCCGGTATCACCGAAAGGGACAAGTCTCCAGTTGCCCATCCCCAAAGCATATTGGACTCCTTTATATCCGCTGGTACTCCACAGATCGTCAGCGTGTTCGACCCCTTCGAACTGTGGTACAGAGCACTATTAGTGTCTAAACTACTCGACAGGATTAACACGTAACTCTCAAGACTTACCGTCGCAGTATATGGAGCCAACGGTTGACAAGATCCAGGGTACGTAGGTTGTGGAAGACTAGGGCATGAAGTCACAGTTTCAGCCGGCTGCGTTACGGTCTCTGACTCTGTGACTGTGACTGGTGGAAGATGTATCGTAGAGGCAGGTAAGGTGATAGTCGAGGGACTTTCCGTGGTGGTCTTAACCGAGGTTGTAGTTGAGGTTAAAATCGAGGTGATAGTCATCGTGACTGTTATGGTCTTGTGGTGACCGTTACGAGGCGGGTCGTGATCGTGATCGTGATCGTGGTGGTCATGGTAATCATGGCCACCACGTCCATCACGTCCATCGCGTCCATCATAACCATCACCCTGAGTGACTGTCCATGAATCATAGCCTAATGCACCAATGAGTACCCGTTAATCCACTTTAATAGAAGGCAACAGACTCACCTGAGCTAAGCACTTGGATATCGACGGAGCTGCCTACATCCACAACAATAGGCTCAAAACTAGCAATCTTCTCTGAAGATCCAACTGCATTGACACAGTCTATGCTGGCTACCGCATGGATGTTCTCACCAGTAATTTTGGCGCCAATCGATGCAGAGCAATCGCTTTGCAGGGAACCATCGGTAGAGGGGTTCAATTGGCCATCAATGAGGACGGACTGGCCCTGATCGCGAAGAGGGTTGGCAAGGGTCTTGAAGACCATTAGGGCGTACAGCCAGGCATGACCAACAACAGTCTTCATCTCGTAAAGGTTGTAAGATGGGCAAATTTTTTCCGATTTGATGGTTACCGCATTTTGTACACCGATTCTTGATTTCAGGAAGAGATGGGAGATAAGAAGGACTCTTTCAATAAAGGAACATAAGATGAGCGAGAGCGGGTAATGAGGCCTATTAATACATTTGGATTATAATCCTTGGATGGATATGCAGATCTTGAAAGATTTTGAGAGAGTATGAAACTAAAAGATTGCTCAAAGTAGTGTACTATTATGTACCTTAGCACCTGTGGAAGAATGTTGGCGTCAAGTACCTGCCATCTTAGCAGCCTCTTGAGACAATAACATCCTCAGCTTTTGCCCGCTTGCTTTCATTTTCAATCGAATGGATGATCAGATTCTCCATGACAATCCGAACTAGAAGACGCAGTGTGGATAATGGATTCTGCAGGCTTGAAGCAAGTGATAGAATTTCTAGTTTAATGCAGAGACTCGAGGCCTCGATTCGTGGATCTGGAACACGCGGGCTTGTCCTAAGAAAAGTGCCAACAGACGGAGTGTACGAATACATCTTAGCGAGACGATACGGTGTGGTCGGATCATCTACTCAGTTGATCATCTTAGTTCGTGGCGTCAGCGGACTGGATACAGAAGAAGGGTATTCCGTGCTTCTGCATTCATGAGGAGGAAGAGGTTGTATAGAGACTCCGTCGGACATGATCCGGTTTTGCACATTTTGGACGACAATTATGTAGTACAACGTCAGGCGATGTAGCTGTATCGAAAACCCTCGTAGACTTGATTAAAGGGTGAGTGATGTATGCATAATGAGAACTCCTATCCCCTCCGTATCCGATATCTTAATTAACGTCGTTAGCGTAAATTTACAAGCAGAATTTCTTTCAATCAGCACCCGGCATGAATGGGTTATGAGATAAGGAATTTGTAAGTGATAGAAAGCTCTGGTCTTAAAGAGCTTTCTCTTCCAGGATACACTCAAACGTGTTGCTAACGTGAAAACTGTGATAACATCAAATAAATAAGACCGGTAATGCTAATTGAGGCATTTTACATCCCCTATGTGAGTACGGAGGCGATATCGGATCGGTGTCGTCAAGCGTGGAGACAACTTATTGGTCGAAGATGTCTCAAGTAAGTGGGAAAAAGAGTCGAGGATCTGTCGCCGTTGCAGGAATGGTCCAGACAACAGAAGCTGTGGTGTTTACACGCTGCGGTTGGGAAGTAGTGAAACATGGAGTGATGAGTGGGGAGGAGATTGTATGGTCGGATGGTCACCTGGTTGGTTGGTTGAAAGCGGCTGCTACTTGGTCCGAGCCGGTCCGAGCCGTGGAAAATGAGGGCTCAGACTGGCTCGGAAACCGGTTGAGCCGATTTAAGCCGCTGCTAAGAGCTCGCCAAGCTTGATAGGGAAGTTGACGCTACTAGTTGGAAAAGTCCTAGTAGCCGGCTAAAAAGCTATTCATATATTAGACTTAACTACTAGTTACATATAAAGTAGATTATTATTATAAGGATTAATACAAATATTATAAATCAGATAAGATTATTAAGCTATCTTTATATAATCTCTCTAATGTGTCTACACCGCCAAGCTCAAGTAATTGACTGCGAAAAGCTCAAACTACGGCCCACAGGTATCATCGTTCCAATTGGATAAAGTTCCCCTCTTCCTGCCTTCTCGAGGTTAGCTAAAAATAAGCATTGCTTTGGTGGGCCAAGGCTGCAGAATCTTGCCAAGCTGTACCCCCATCAAAAACGTACAGAAAGTGCGCAGAAAGAGTGTACAGAATTCGCACACAGAATGATCCTTCTATCCTTCTATCCTTCTATTCTCCTAAAAATTGTTACATCTAGTTGAAAACTTTTAAAGCATCACTATATGGATAATTTATCTCTATAAGCATTTGACTTATTCGTCCTTATTTAGTCTAGTAAAGGGCAAGTGATGAGATTAATGAAGTTGCTAGAGACGATTTTGAGATAAAACCAGCGGTTCTAGTGGAGGAAACACTAAATAATTTCAATTGGATCTTCGTGCCCTTAAATACCAACTTGAAACAATGCTCCGATAAAGATACCTAGAATAGTAGAGCCCCTCTCGCCTCAGTACTAACGGGGGCAAACCTGTACAGCCGCTGACGGTCAGCAGACATTGGACTTCGTCAGCCTCATTTCGCATGTCCATCAATTTTCATGCCAGATGCTCTCAAGACCTAGGCTAAACGCCTGTCGTCTGCTTCATGGCTTCGTACCTGCGATGATCACTGTCAGACCAGCTTCTGGTTTACCAATACACTTTGCTTAAGGAGAGATACCAAAAATCACTCAACGGTAGAGTTCGTACAGTTTTTTCAAATTGATATGACTGAGGAAATATTTATGACACGGTCCGATCCTTGCGCTTGCACATACGCCTCAAACTGGTGTGCAACCGAAGGAATATTTCAACTACGATACATCAAGCTTTATGTGCCGCACAAATATGGAAAAGTCGGTCACACGTTAGTCATCGCTACCATGATTTGTTTGAAAAGGTTGTTGATGATCACCGGTTCCTATGGGCTGATCGTTTCGCACACAATCCTCTATATGCAATCTTCTCTGGTCACACTACCAACACTCAACCAACTCCGCCTATTAGTGATTTCAGCGGCAAGAACAATGGGTGAGCCTGTCAATGTTCCTTGCGCCGGCTACAAGGGGTGCATGACATCTCGGCATCAGCAGCGCTTCAATCCCTGTTGTCATTGCATGATGGGTATGCGGAAACTTACAGTGCCAGATATGACCTTACTTACGCTCAATTCGTCTCTTGCACGGCCATATCAGTGACGAGTGCTGGTCACAACAATGATGCCGTCACCAGAACAAGTCACGTAGTCCTATAAGCCGACCCCTGGCAGAAGACGCTGCCGGTAGTCGAGTCACGTCATGAAGTTGTGGTCGAGGTGTCTTAGTGCCTCTTGGGGCTAAAATATGCCATAGATAGAGACGTTCTACTGACGGAAAAGTACAACAACTCCAACACACCTCATCACGACATCGTCCACCAAAAGTACCCGGTCGTCCTTGTTCTTCAACTCGTCAATCTTCATTACCTCGTCCTTCACCTCTTTGAGAGGAAAAGGCTGACGGAGTCTTGCTGAAGAAGAGCATGTTTACGTTCCCAGCCTCTTTGAGCATCCGGCAGTACTCGTCGATACCACAACCCTTGTCCCAAGCACAAGGCTGATAAGCTTTCCGTCCGTGTTTGTCTTTGAAACTCTTCGAGACATGCGATCATGGTAAATATGACCAAAGACTCGGCGTGAATATTTCCGGAACCCCAATTGCTTTCCAAGAAGTAATCAAGACCGTGTTTTCCTTGAAAAGTGTCCATGGACGTAACAAAATATGATTCCAAGGCTTCAGCGCGCGTCTCTCAGACACATGTGTAACGTTTGACACGTTTGGCACTACCCGGGCTAGCTTTATCAATGAAACACACTATAGCGGCTATCTTGAACAATATCTGTTGCTCTCGGCAGTCTTTCAACACAACAAAAAAGCTGCATTAGCTTTGTGCAATTATCCTTTCCTTTCCTTTCCTTCCCTCCACCCTTCACAAACTGGCACTCAACACAACCACCGGCCCCCGAACCAATTAGAAACACCATTCATCCATCTCTTGCTGCCTTCCTTCATGTCTTCCAAGCAAACATTACCCTTCCCCTTCCCAGCAGGCATCCACTACAACGGAACGTACCACGGCTGCAAACTCGTCCCTACTCTGCAGTGCGGAAACCCAACTTGTGCATGCGCAACAGGATGCCAAGGACCAGACTGCAGGACCTGCGGACCTCGTACTACATTCCAGCCAATGACACCACCTCAGCGGACAGAGAAGCGCAAAGCCATCAGTCAGCGGCCGGATGATGCCCACCACTTCTACTATGACGAGGGAGCGGAACGTTTGTTGTTTTCATCTCCTTCCCCATCTCCTTCCCACCAGAGATCTCTTGTTGGTGGTGTCGGTGGTGAAAGGACTCCCGAATCCCCTTCTCCATCAAAGCCTGCTGATATGAGAGAATCTTCTTCGACTCCGAGGTCGAGAGGGCTAAGAAGTTCTCCGTTGCGGCAGGGGAGGTAGGAGTTTTGTGCTGGTCTATTCAACCGAGAAACAGAGGCAGCAGAGCGACTCTTCCTTCTCATTACTTCTTCTGTAGGGCGCCTCATGAACAAACCCACCCGGTCAGAGCCTAGCCTATGTACGACCGCATCAATCTGCGAGATCCCAGAAATGCTGGCTCCTACCGACCAGGAGATCTGTGATCCTTGTTCCATGACTAACCTGATCAACTTGTCTGAGCGTGAGTGTGCCTTTCTCCCAGGCACTCAGCTGAACAACCAAGCCACCAAGCCGTGCCCCATGGAGCCGAGACCATTCGCGATGGTCCGAAGTAAAATCGATGGGTTGGAGTTCCTATCCAAATGGCTGTGTGGTAGAAACAGAATTCCACAAAGGAACGCCTTATTTATAAATAAGAAGATATATATACGTCAATTCTCACCGTCAATGATTTGCACATCTAGACAGCGAAAACTGTCTTTGGACGTCCCAACACCGACAAAATTTCCATGCAGATCCCATCCCATCCCATCCATCCACCCATCCACCCATCCGGACAGCGAAAACTGTCTTTGGACGTCCCAACACCGACAAAATTTCCATGCAGACCATCCACCCATCCATCCATCCACCCATCCATCCATCTATCCTCCATGTCCATAAACAACCGATGGTGTAATGCACCCTTCCCTATTCATGTATCAAGTCCAGCAGACACATAGATACCAGATCGACGCCTCAACAAACCTAACCCCCCTTCGCACCAAGAAGAGAGAATGTACAGTGTGGTTAGTCACATACCAGTACCTGAAATGAAACAAATCCGGCAGCAGATGGCGTTTGACCTACCTACCTACCTAACTTGTACCACCACTAACGTAGCTAGCATCTACCCCTTCGCAAGAAAAGTAATATGTGGTTAGTAGAAAGACGGGGCATTGAGTAGATCTAGTGTCAGGTTTCAAGTCTCAAGTTTTTCCGGTTTCAAGTTTCTCGTTTTGAGTGGGGGGAAAAAAAGAGGAAACATTCTCGATCGCTGGTAATACTTTAACTATCTTAACCGAACTAGTACGACGACGACGACGCCGACGACGCCGCCGCCATTGAAATGTAGATAAAAGTATATATCCAATCGAACCCCAATTCCAACCCCCTAACTTAGCAAAAACCAAAAAAAAGAAGAAAAAAGAACACAAGGTCCCTCCCCATTCCCCCAAAACCGTATCAGAAGAG